GAGCGAATGTTTCGGTGAAATCGCGTCCGTGCTCTTCGTCGAAGCCGCGTACGACCCAGCGTGCCTTAAATTTGTCGATGGTGCCGTCAGCTGTTGTCTTCACACGGAAGACCCACTTCCTGGTGAGCACTGTCTTGTTCCGTGCCAAGCCGATAGGAACCACTTTCCACGTGTTGCGTTCCTCCAGTGCCTTTAGTTCCTTGTCCATGGCTTCGCGCCATTTTTCCTTATGTTCCCCCCCTAGAGCCTGCTGAACCGTCGCAGGCTCTTTAGGAGTGGCGGAGCCGTGGACTGCGGTGACGAGCTCGAGAATCTGCAGTCCACTCTGTGAGTAGCGGGGAAGATTTACGTCCTCGGGATAAGCTGCTTCATCTCCCGCTTCTGGATCAGGTATGAAGTTCGGTCCTATTCATTCTGCTTCGTTGGTGTTGATTATCGCAGGTGTTACGTAACCGTTGTCGGCGAAATGGTAGAAGGTTTCGGCGTTGGCACTTTCGCGAGGGTTGTCTTCGTCCATGGGAACGTCGACGGAGCAGAACGGGAGAGGTCCGGCTTCTTCTGATGCGTTGTCCACATTCTGCTCGTCCCAGTCAGCTTCGTCCGCTGCTGAGGCGAAGGCTCGGTCACCACGAAAACCACCTGTGGGATCTTCGTCTTCTTGCAGGTTGGCAAGGTATGTCTGGAGCGTGAGTCGCTCGTAGAAAATTACGTCACGTGCTGCTACTGTTTCCTTGGAGTGGACGTCGAAGATTTTCCACGCGTTGTAGTTCTTTTCGATTCCCAGGTGTAGTCCCCACTGTGCTCGTTGAGAAAATCGGCCCGCCCGTGCTGCTGGGGGTCGGTACTGTACCATGCATCCGAAAACTCGTAACATTTTTGTGCTGCCCTGTTTCCCTGTCCAAAGCAGATGCGGTGATGCGTTGTTTGGAAGCGATGATGACGACAGCAAGTTGTGCAGCATGACGGCGTGGTCCATTGCTGCAAGCCACTGGTGGTTGGGTAGCCGCATGCCACGTAACAGTTTGCGCATGCTGTTCTGCAAGGTCCTGCTCATTCTTTCTGCTACACCTTGCTGCTAATGCGCGTAGGGAAGGGAGATGAGCTGTTTGATTCCCCTTTCCGCCAGGTACTGCTTGAATCGCTGAGAGGTGTACTCTCCTCCTCCGTCTGACTGGAAGCTTTTCAGTTGCACGCCCGATTCTCTCTCTGCTACTGGTAGCCAGGCAACAAAGGCTGCGAATGCCATGTCGCAGCTAGGGAGGTTTAGGTGCCAGACGTAACGGGTGGCAGCGTCGATGAAGGTGATCGTGTAGTTGTATGTTACTTGTCCTGGTTCCCGATTGAACAGGATGTTGCTATACACCTTCTCGAGTGGTGCGTACGCGGGTGCGCTCGGGTTGTGATGAGGTGCAAACGGTCGATGTGGTAAGTCACCTTCAGGGCACGTGAAGCACGTTCCGCGTACTCGTTGAAGTTCTCGTCCGTCGGTCAGTAGGAGTGAGTCCTTGTCGAGTACTCCTGCTCTTATCGTATTGTTTAATACTGTGTTGCTTGGGTGTCCCATCCTTGCGTGTCAGGTGCTTTCGTCGACGCGATGTCCGGGTGATCGTCGGTACATATCGAAGTTGGAGTAGAAGTTGGCGGTGAAGTTGGCGCTACGATGAACTTCTCGTGGTGCTGGGTGTAGTTGTTGCGCGGGTGTTGGTGGTGTATCGTCGATGAGGAGCGGTGTCGTTGAAGGACCAGCAATTGGTGTTGACGTTCCTGCTGCTGCCGTTGATGGTTCTGCTACTGTCGATGTTGTCTCTGCTGCTGCCGATGTTGTCTCTGCTGCTGCCGATGTTGTCTCTGCTGCTGCCGATGTTGTCTCTGTTGCTGCCGATGTTGTCTGGATTGTTGCTAACGCCCTTGTTCTTTCTGCTTCGGGGATGGTGTGTGAATACCAGAAGCCTTCTGGACTGAAGTCTGGATCAAGGTCTGGAGGGTGTGTCCAGTTGGTGAAGTTGACGATGGCGTCGCTATCGGCGGTGCCAAGGTCAGGAACGAAATCAAGAACGAAGACGTTGTTCTTGAGGACCGCCTTGCCAATGTAAAGTCCTCCTCTCCCGTGATACGGCTTGAATTCTTGGGTGGTGCTGTCTGCTTCGAGGTGAATCCCCTTCGCCATTAGCTGACTGACGCTCACTATGTTGTAGCCAAGTCCCTCCGCGATTAGTACTTTTGACATTTGCAGTATAACGTTTGTTTCCCTTGACTGAAGTTGAACTATGCCTTGTCGTCGTGTTCGCAGGTTCTGATTGTTGGCGACTGTAATGACAACTTCGCGTTGAAGTTGGTGTTCTCGTTGAACGAAGCGTCCCGAGGAGCACATATGCTGTCCGCAGCAACTGTCCAAGAACCATGTGTCCCTTCCGGATGGTTCGCTTTGGGCGATGGCGGCGTATGTCGGGTTCGGCTGAAGTGACTCGCGGCGGGGTGTGGTTTCGTCGAGTTGTTCTTCCGGTGAGTAGTGTGGTGGTGACTCAGTGATGCAGGAGTCTTTCAGCTTTGCCATGCAGCTGACGATGTTTCTTTCTCCTTGTGCAGGTTGTCCTGTTGGGGTCGTTGAAGCTTGAATCTGAGTCTGAGGCGATTTGGCTGCTTGAAGGTCGAAGTTGCCGCTGTGGGGTTGTTGACTGTTGACGATTCGGGCAGTGTGTACGCGGGTGTCCTGAAGTTTTGCAGATGTGGCAGAACGGAGGTACTGGCTTCGGTTGTTGCTGCCGATTGTTGTTGTTGTTGTAGCGTCGCTGAGTGTGGAGCGCGAATTCCAGTGCTGATGTCTTCTTTTTGTGTCGTTCTTCTTGCAGGTCCATGTCTTGTTGCTCGGCGTGGATTTCGGCGCAGAGCGCTGCTTCGGAGATTCTTCCATGAGCTCGGAGGATAGCCTTTGTGGCGTGCCATTGAGGACTAAGGCCGCCGATGATGACTATCACGAAGGCGTCTTCAGAGATCGACCCTCCGCATCGAAGAATCTTGTCGCGCAACTCGCGACATCGACTGATATACGCCATTCCTTTCTCCCCTGGTTTCATTTCAACCGTTGTCAGTTGCGCCATTAACCGACTTTGACTTACGCTGTCTGTTGCTTGATACAGGCTCTTCAGGTGGTTGTACGCGAGCTCCGCGGAGTTGCCATAACCTCGGTAAGTCCTTATGTTCTGCTGTTGAGTCGGGGTGATGTTCCTCAGTAGGATCGTATACGCCATCATTGACTGATAGGTGTACTGCTGCTTCTCGTACTGTGTGCCGTTTGTTGGGTATGGCAGAGACCCGTCAAAGAACCCGAGTATCTGCGCGCCTTCCATCATCAGCTCGAACTCGAATGACCAGGTGAAGAAGTCCTTTCCATCAAAGGGTCTTGACGTCTGCATCTTCAGAATGTGAGCGAACTGCGACTGAACTTGCAATGCGTCCAGTGGTTTTTCTTGTCCAGGTGAGGGCTGTGGGTGTGGCATGAAGCTGATGGACCCGCGCTCGTACGGAGCAAAGGTAGGCTGCTGTTGTTGATTTCCTCGTGCATATGATGAGCCGTCGAGACTCATGGGTGTTGCTCCGTTGTTGTTGCTGTTGTGTGACTGCGCAAGTGCTGATTGCTGGTGTTGCTCGTAGAAGGACATGAAGGAGAAAAACTTCTCCATCATGCTCTGGTCGAAGTCTGCAGGTTGATTCGCGGGAGTCTCGGTAGATGTTCCTCTGGGTCTTGCTGCCGTGCCCTGCTCTGTTTGTAGGCCAGAGGCAGGAGGTGGAGTAGGAGTAGTTCCCTGGGAGCCGTTGGAGTTGCTCCTTTCTTTTTGTGTAGCCATGCTGATTGATACTGTTGGTATAGAAGTTGAATCCCCCCTGATAGCTCTCATACCATGTAGGGCTGAAAAAGGCCGTTAGGATCTTTGCAGGGGTGAACTCTGGGTAGAGTTGGTGTAATAGCGGAAGCGTTAATAAAGTGTTGTGAACCACCTTGCGCTAGTATGTGAGAGCAAAGTAAGTTGATTAAAACAAGGAGATACAAGATTATATATGAATACAGGGAATATGAAAAGACACAGTTATAACTACTTTACTGTTGCTGTTGCGGTTCGATACAGTGACGACTCGGGCAACTGCTCTGTAACGAGTCAGTTGTGTGTCCTTGCTGTCGCGCTGTACTTGTCAGGTCAAAGGTCACTGACCTTTGACTTTCGCGTAACCTCCAGCGGTTACTTCAACCTCCGAGGGTTGACTCGCTGGTTCCTCGATATGCTTTGCTTCGCTTGTGCCTTAGTGTTTCGACACGACAGAGGCGCTTAGGACCGATTGTTTCCAACAGGAACAACAGAGCCCCTCATCTCCGAGTGCGGTGACAAGAATTAGAGAGAGTAAGTGATGCAAGTCCTCGTGGTGCTGGTACTGCCCTCTGGGATACAGCCTCTGCTCTGCACATACTTAGTGGATAGTAGATGGTCGTCTTGCTGTGTGATGGTTCGGTTTGGGTTTGCTTTGCTTTGCTTGTGCCGAGTCTGGTTCTAGCCTTGGTGGTGTGATGGTTCGGTTTGGTTTAGTTGTCTGGGTTTGCTTTTCTTTGCTTTTGCTGAGTCTGGTTTGGACGGGAAGGGTTTGGATGCTTGCAGGGAACATTCATTTGTCTTGTGCTCTGTCTTGATTAAACCCTTGTGGTAATAAAGCATGTCGTTTCTTTATGTCAAATGGTGAAGACAACTATTGTTAACACAGAGCATCAGATGACGGACAATAGTAAATCCCCGAAGCCCACGTCTCTCCTTTCCACTCCACCTCTTCCCCTCTTTCACACTCCCCTCGCCTCCTTCATTTAGCGCCCAAAGAATCCAGTCCAGGTGCAGAACATTGGAGCAGCGCAGCATGTGCCTCAGGTTGAATGATGAATCTTATCATCTAACTACGAGTCACAAAAAAAAACAGCAGAACAACATGAGCCATGGGCCGCTGAAAGATGGATCTAGCATTTACGGTAACCACACCAACCCTTCTCTCTTCTGTGCCACCTCTGCTTCCTCTCCCCCTCCCTCGTCCTCCTCACCATCCTCTGCTTCCTCCCCCACTTCCTCCTCCCTACCCACCTCACTGTCCTCTCCTCTCCCGTCCTCTCCACTGCCCTCCCCCCTCCCATCCAGCGCCCACTTCACTCTTTCCAAAAACAGCTCATCAGAGCAGCACAGCATGTGCCTCATGTTGAACTTCACATGAGCATGTGTCTGTGTGGCAGACTACCCTGAGCCTGCTCTCTTTCTCCACCTCTCTCCCCCCCCTCTCCTTCCTCTGATTCATCCCTTTTTCTTCGTCCTCTTCACCCATCTCAGTCTCCTCCCCACTCTCCTCTCCTCTCCCCTCCAGCGCCCACTTCACTCTTTCCAAGAATAGCTCATCGGAGCAACACAGCATGTGTCTCAGGCCAAAAGACAGCCCTTACTGCTGCAGCAGGTTGAATGCATGAGCTTAATAAGCTACGCTTGCTCCCTTCTCCTCCACATCTATTCCCCCTTTTCCTCCTCTCCCTCCTCTGCTTCCTCCCCTTCTTCCTCTTCCCCTTCCTCTTCCCCTTCCACCTCATTTCCCTCTCCACCTCCCTCTCCTCTCCCCTGCAGCGCCCACTTGACCCGCTCTAAGAACAGCTCATCTGAGCAGCACAGCATGTGTCTCAGGCTGAAGGACAGCCCTTGCTGCTGCAGCAGGCGGTGCCTTGGAGCAATGCGCGTGTCCAGGGCATAGCTGAAGAATCTGTGAAAAGTGGGCATGAGACGAACATAAGAAAGAGGGCATGGGAAGAGGGCATCAGACCAGAGCAGCAGAGCATGTGTCTCAGGCTGAAGGACAGCCCTTGCTGCTGCAACAAGTGGTGCCTCGGAGCAATGCGTGTGTCGAGTGCATAGCTAAAGAAGCTGCTTGGAAGGAGGGAGGAGACACGGTGGGTTGGAAGAAAGTGAGGGGCATGGGAAGTGGGCATCTGAGTAGCACAGCATGTGTCTCAGGCTGAACGACAGCCCTTGCTGCTGCAGCAGACGGTGTCTCGGAGCAATGCGTGTGTCCAGATCATAGCTGAAGAATCTGGTTTGGAAGAGAGAAACAAGGGGAGGGCGGAGGGGGGCGGAGACTAACAAGTGAACTCGATAGTTTTCGGGGAGCAATGCGTGTGTCCAGGGCATTTAGGAAGCTGCTTGGAAAAAGGAACAGGAAGGGATTAGAGGGCAGGGTGTGGGGGAGTGATGGATATGGGCCGGGTGTGACCAAACCTCAGGGTCGGACCGTCAGAGGCTGATAGCAGGGGGTGCCAGGGAGGGAGCAATGATACCCCCCTGCTTGGGTAGGAGCAATGCTTCACACATTCTCCTCTGCCACCTCCTCCGCCTGCTGATCACAACACTGAACCGTACTGCACCGTAGGATGCATACTATACCATACCACACTGCACCCCGTAACATATCATACCCACTGTGGGAAGGTGACTAGATGGTCGACAGTGAGGCACATGGTCTTCGAGGATTGCTCCATTTGGAGAAATCCCGCCATTTGGGGCTCCAGGATTTCTCCGCCATGGCCCCCACGCTTCCACCTTCTCCACCTGCTGTTCACCACACTACACCATACTGCACCACCATAAAACCACATCATGCTGTCCCCTACCTCTACTGTATCGCACTACCAGTGGGAAGGCAACCAGATGGTTGTTGGTCAGGCGCATGGTCCTCTGGAAGTAGCGCCACTTGGGCTTCAGAATAGCCGAGGGACTGTAAACTCCCTCCTCCTCCTCTGCCTGCTCCTCCTCCTCACATCCTCACATCCTCCTCCTCCTCTGTAAACTCCCCACATCCTCCTCCTCCTCTGCCTGCGCTTCACCGCACTGGACCGTACTAGCAGGAAGCCTGGACCGTACCCCCATGGACAGCAGGAAGCGCACTACCGGACGAAGCCTGTCGTCCTCACGTCTTCCTTCTCTGCCTGATCTTCCCCGCACAGAACCGTACTGTACCATAGGAGAGAAACCTTTTACCCCACACTCACCATGGGAAGGCAACCAGATGGTCGACGGTCAGGCGCATGGTCCTCTGGAAATACCGCCACTTGGGCTTCAGAATAGCCGAGGGGTCCTCTTCTGCCTGCTCCTCACCACACCGAACTGAACCATGCTACACCCTGTCGCACTCACCGTGGGAAAGCCACTAGATGATCGACAGTCAACCGCATGGTCCTCTGAAAATACCGCCACTTGGGCTTGAGAATAGCCGGATTGTACTTGAGCAGAGGGGGGAACTGCACCACCATGCTCCCCACATCTTCCCTCACTACGCCCATGGATAGCAGAAAGCGCACTAGCGGACGAAGCCTGTCGTCCAGATGGCACGCCACCAAGTCCGGCCGAGCCACCACGACCTTCCAAACCTCGTGGTCCGGGACTCCTGCTTCGGTGACGAGGAACCGAACCTGAGGAAGCGGGGTTGGTGTGAAGCAGGTAGGGAGGGAGAATATCGGTTCAGCTTGTGTGAGCTGTGGCTTGGCTAGTAAACATTTGCAGATGCAGCAGGTCGTGTTTTGAGTCGACTCAAAACATGGCTTGGCTTGTAAATATCTGCAGATGCAGCTGGTTTGTGAGAATTCTCAAAACCACCTGCAACAGCTAAGCTTGCATGAGCTGTGGTGTGGGGGGCAGATGCACGACTAATGGAGCCAATGGTTGGGAATATGGGCACAGCTAAGCCAAGACGAGTGGCAGAAACATCTTCATTGCATGGTTGATTGATGGCAAGCGCAAGACAAGACGAGCTGCCTCAAAGGCTACTACCACTCAGCTCACCAGTGGTCTTATCTTCTTGTCGAGGCTGTAGGTGAGGATGGGTGGAAAGCGGTGCAGAACTCCCGCTACATCTGCCTCGGGAATCCCGATCAGCCGGAGGAAGCGAACCTGAGAGGACCAAGAGATGAGAGGCACACGGGAAGAGTGAGGATTCACTTCCTGGCGACCACCGACCGGGGCGGATATCAAGTCACTCACAAGTCACCTCGGCAGCTGAAGCACCTAAGAGCTTGTCCCTCGGCAACTGACATGTACCAGAAGCACCCTTGGTCTAATTTTGAGTCGACCCAATGATAGCAAACGCATACATTAAGAACCTGTCCGTTCCTCACCTCATCCATACCTTAGATGAGACATCCGCTTGCACTGTGAGCTGCAGCACCTTTGGGTTTAGGTCACAGATTTGCACCTTCTGTACCACCATCTCCCTGATCTGATTTGAATGTAAGTCAGATCAGACCCTGCGGGTGGTCAAAGCTCATTCATACCACATGTCTGCCTGAACGGTGAGCTGGAGCACTTCGGGTGGTGCACCACCAGCTCCCCAGCCTGATTCCAACGCTGGTCAGTCTCACAGCAGGTGCTGGTGGTGACATCGCAGCACCATAGCTACCTTATGGTATGACCTCATCCATACTTAACCACATCCATATCTTGGAAGACACATCCGCCTGCACTGTAAGCTGCAGGACTTTCGGGTGGCGCACCACTATCTCCCCGGTCTGATTTGAACGGCATGCACTCATCCACACCCATCTGTACCCATACGTACACATCCATACCTTAGAAGACACATCCGCCTGCACTGTAAGCTGCAGCAATTTTGGGTGGCGCACCACCATCTCCCGGATCTGATTTGAAGGTAAGTCAGCTGCAGAAGGCACCCATCCACACCCATCTGTACCCATACAAGACCACGTCCATACCTTGGGAGACACGTCTGCTTGCACTGTAAGCTGCAGTACTTCCGGGTGGCGCACCACCATCTCGCCGATTAGGTTTGAACGGCATGCACTCATCCACACCCATCCGTACCCATCCGTACCCATCCGTACCTTGGGAGACACGTCTGCCTGCACTGTAAGCTGCAGCACCTTTGGGTGGCGCACCACCATCTCACCATCTCTCCTATACCTCACCCATACCTTAGGAGAGACATCCGCCTGCACGGTGAGCTGCAGCACCTTTGGGTGGCGCACCACCATTTCCCCGATCTGCGTGTTGGTGAGCCCCAACAGCGAGAGGTAGCGAATCAGCAGCTGCCACGTGGCGTCCAGCGAGCTGCTCAGCAACTGCGGGCGGCGCACGATGACTTTAGCGAGGCCCACTCCCCTGATGTGGAGCGATTCGAAGAATGCGAGCTGGCATTTGAGGGGGGAGAAAGGGGAGGGGTGGGTGGGGACAGGGGGAAAGGGGGAAAGGGGGAAAGGGGCGTTGAAATTCTAACAGCTTATAGTGGGCGCTGCACGATGACCTTTGCCAGGCCCACTCCTCTAAAATGTAGAGACTCGAAGAAGGCGAGCTGGCGACTGAGGGAGGAGAGAGAGAGAGGACGGGACGACTTTTAAATCCACTAAAAAGTCACCTCGTTACAATGGCACACAATACGTAAGGACTGAAGAATGTGAGCTGGTAATGGAGTGAGGAGAGGGGGGATTTGGGGGGGGTGGGGAGGGTGGGGTGGCGGAGAGAAAGTGGGCAGAAAGTCAGATGGAATTAGTTGCAGCAGCTGCGGGCGGGCGCAGTTTTGAGTCGACTCAAAACACAGCTGCGGGCGGGCGATTGAGTGAGGAAAAGGGGGATGTGGGGGTGGGGGAGGGAGGGGATGGAGGCGGTGGTGCTGGAAGGAAGTAGTCTCGCAGGCAGAATCTGGAAGGACTCTAGTATGCTTCTCACCTTGACCTGAAGATCCATTTCTCTCATCAGCACACTGTGCCAGCCACTGTGCCAGCCACTGTGCCAGCCACTGTGCCAGCCACAGTGCCAGCCACTGTGCCAGCCACTGTGCCAGCCACTGTGCCAGCCACTGTGCCAGCCACAGTGCCGGCCAGCTCAGACACAAGTTTAGGCAACAGATGATGGTGGAAGGAAGGAGAGTGGCGGGCAGGAGTTAGTACGGAGTATGTGAGAAGTTTAGCATGTCTCTCACCTTCGCCTGCAGTGCCTCCATGAGGAGTACATCCTCGTCGCTCATCACGTGAGGGTGGTTGCACACCACTGTGATGCCAGCTCCACCACACGTTAAGGCAATGGGTGGTGCTGGAAGGAGCCTGGCTAGCAGGAGACTGGACGGACCCCATCCACTCCAGCATGACTCCCGTATCTTTGCCTGCAGTGCCTCCATGGGTAAATCCTCGTCACTCACGACGTGAGGGTGGTTGTACACCACTGTGCCTGCCAGCTCCCATACACCACTGTGCCACTCTCAAACACACTTTTAGGCACCGGGTGGTGCTGGAAGGAAGGAGAGTGGCAGGCGTCTGCTTGGACCCTGAATGTGCCATGTCGCTCACCTTCGCCTGCAGTGCCTCCATGGGTAGATCCTCGTTGCTCATCACGTGAGGGTGGCTGCACACCACTGGGCCCGCCAGCTCCCTCACACTCTTGGGCAACGGGCGGCGCTGGAAGGCAGCTGACAGGCGTCTGGACTGGGGGCAGGCACTCTGAATGCGCCATGTTTCACCTTTGCCTGCAATGCCTCCATGGGTAAATCACCTCCGCCCATCACGTGAGGATGGTTGCACACCACTGTGCCGGCCAGCCAGCACCACCACGCGCTTGGGCAACGGGCGGAGCTGGAAGGAGGCTGGCAGGCGGCTGGACTGGAGGCACTGGTAGTCTGAACTGAATGCGCCATGTCTCTCACCTTTGCCTCAAGTGCCTCCATCGGTAAATCCTCGTCGCTCATCACGTGAGGGTGGTTGTACACCACTGTGCCGGCAAGCTCCCACACGCTTTTCGGCAACGGGTGGTGCTGGAAGGAGTCTGGCAGGCGGAGAGCTGCAGGGATGTCTCGAGAGGCGAGGGGGGGGAGAGATAGAACCAGCGACTCTGATTCTCCACCTGCTGCTCTTTTCTGTGATGCTGCACTTGCATCTGCTGCTGCTCTTCTGTCTGCTGCTGCTCTTCTGTCTGCTGCTGCTCTTCTGTCTGCTGCTGCAGCTGCTCCTACTGCTGGGATTGTGGTTGTTGCCATTGCCTCTCCTTCCCTTCCCTCCCTCTCCTCGCTTTCCTCCCTCTCCTCCCTCCACTCCCTCAGCCTTGCCTCCTCCTCCCATTCCGCCTCTCTCACCCTCCTCTCCCTCTCCCGCTCCTCCCACTGCTCCCGCTGCTGCGCTGCCAGCGGCTCAAGCATAGCATGCAGCAGCCGCCCCTTTCCTAGAAGCTTCTCAAATGGATCCACCAGCACGCCTGGCGCCTTGCTGAGCACCACTCCTACCCACTCCCTCCGCACACCCACTTGGTCGACCAGGTAGTCTACTCGGACCTGGAGCAAGGGGAAGAGAGGAGGGAGATACCCGATGAAAGGCATGGCGGAAGGTACACGGGAGAGGGAAGGGGGGAAATGGGTAAGCGAGGAGAAAACCGTAAGAGATTCCACCAGCACGCCTGGCGTCTTGCTGAGCACCACTCCTACCCACTCCCTCCGCACGCCTTCTTGGTTGACCAGGCAGTCCACACGATCAGGATAAAATGCACAAGAGACAAGACCACACACAGCAGGATATGAGTGAGGAAGGTATAAGAGAGTCCCTCAGCACGCCTGGCGCCTTGCTTGGTTAGCACCACCCTCACTCAACCACTCCCAACCACTCCTACCCACTCCCTCCGCACCGCACGCCCACTTGGTTGACCAGGCAGTCTATTCGGTATGGGTGTGACAAGAATGGCAGGATTGAGGGGTTTAGGGGGATAATACCTGAAGCTGGTGGATGGGTGCAGCAAGGAGGGTTGCGCACGGCAATGCGGCCCACCACATCATGCTTCACGCCTGCTCGGTGCAACCATTTGATGTCATCCCTCACCCACTTTGCACCACCCACGCACCCACACCACACCACACCACACCACACCACTGCACACTGCACCCCGCCCACCCACCCGCCCTCTCATCATGCTTGCCGACCTACCCACCTGAAGGTCATGAATGGGCGTGGCGAGGATGGCAGGGTTGCGCACGACAATGCGGCCCACCACATCATGCTTCATGCCTGCCCGGTGCAACCACTCGATGTAATCCCTCACCCACACCACACCACGCCACTTCCCACTGCACCCCACCTGCCCACTCACCCAACCTTGCTCATGCCGACCTCAAGGTGCAGTTTAAGTGCTGCGAGGATGGCAGGTTGAGGGTTCAGGGGTTTCGAGTTGAAGGGGTTACCTGAAGGTGGGGGATGGGAGTGGCGAGGATGAGATTGATTTTGGATGCGCCCCAAACAATTCTCAAAATCAATCTCAAACAAAGAGGATGGCAGGGTTGCGCACGGCAATGCGGCCCACCACATCATGCTTCACGCCTAATCGGTGCAACCGCTCCCATGCCCGCTCGTGCGGGCTACCCACCTGAAGGTCGTGGATCGGTGTGGCAAGGATGGCAGGGTTGCGGACAACGATGCGGCCCACCACATCATGCTTCACCCCTGCTCGGTGCAACCACTCGATGTAATCCCGCACCCACACCACACCACTCCGCCGCTCCTGCTCCTCCCCCTCACGCGGCCCATCTCGTCTGGCAAGGGCATTTCCCCCCACAGCAGAAACAGCATCAGCAGCAGCATCAGTGGAATCAGCATGCATGGCGGCAGCGAGAGTGATGAGGGCGGCAGTGCGGGCGAAGGTCTGCTTGGCCGTCTGCTTCAGCCACCGCGCGAGCAGGTGCGGTGCAGAGCGGTGCACTGCGATGGCCGCGCGGTGGGGGAAGGAGTGGAAGGTGTAGTGCGGATCGGACTTGAGGGCTACAGCCTGGGGAAGGGGATGGGGGGTTGGGGGGAAGAGAGTGAGCGGAAGGGGGAAGAAAACGTGTCCGGTTCTGTTTTGACAGATTCATCCCAACACACTTTCACCAGTTTCACCTGTACGAACGCTGGCAAAATTGCCAATACTAGAGATCCCACCAGGAATGCAACTGGAGTCTTACCTGAAAAAACACCTGAAATCCACATGGGAACGCACCTGAAACCCCGCCAAAAACCCACCCGGAGATCTACATGGAAATCCATTTTAAAAGGCACATGGGGTCTCACCTGAAAAGGCACCTGAAGCCTCACCTGGAGCACGAGCTGGTCGATATAGGCAGGGAGGTGCCTCATAAGCTCCCTGGAATACACCTTCCCCAGCTTCACCTCCTCAAACGCTGACATCAGCGCCGCCCGCACCACCTTGCGCCTCTCCTGCAGCGCGAGCGCCACGGGGCTGTCCCGGGAAACTTCCAGGCTGCTTCCGCTGTTGCTGCTTCTACCGCTCCTGCTGCTGCTTTGAGACGGCAAGGAGGGTATACCGTTTCCTGAAAATTCCAGCCTGGGTATTCTAGCAGACTCCAGAGGGGCATTCTTACTGCTGCTGCTGCCATCCCTGGTGAAAGAAGTGTTCTTCCTGCCGCTCTTCCTGGTGCTGCTACTGTCAGTGGCCGCCGCTGCTGCTCTGCTCCGGGTCACACTGGAAACACCATCACCACCACCACCAACACCACCAACACCACCATCACCATCGTCATCAGCAACACTGGTAATCCCTGCGCATGGGATATCCCCCTCCTCCTCATCCCATGGCCACTGCTGCTCCTGTGTGCGTGACTGCCCTCCCAGCCCGCCGCCCTTTGAAGCCCTGCCAGGGGAAGGAGTCGGGCTCTCAGCACGATCTGCTGCATGTGACTCTGCTGTGTTCAGTGCCGATGCTACCATTGCTGCTCGTGATTCGGCTTGCTCTCCTGCGTGTGATTCTGCTGCGTCTGGCTCTTCTGTGTCGAATGGTGGATATGCCACTCGTGCTCGTGTGGGTTGATCACCAACACTTGCAGCCACCACCAATTGTTTTGCGGCTGCTGTTCCTGCTGCTGCTGCTGCTCCTGCTCCTGCTGCTGCTCCTGCTGCTCCTGCTGCTGCTGCCGCTCCTGCTGCTACTGCCGCTGGTCGGTCAGGGAACTGTGATTGCTCGTGAAATGCTGCTGTGGGCGCACCATCGGTAGAACCCCCGACTGCTGCTGTGGATGGTGAGTGCGACTGCTCGTTCAGTAATCCACTGGCACTTACCACGGCTGTATCAGCAACCACAGCACCACTGGAAGACCCACCAGCACCTGCTGCAGCTGCAGCTGCTGCTGTGGCTGATGATACAGCGTCCTGCCATGGAAAAACCCCTTCTCCTCTCACTCTCTCTACTCCTACTCCTTCCCCTTCCATGCCTTCTCCATCCCTCTCTAACCATCCCGCCCTACTCTCAACTTCCACCTCAGTCCCTCTCATACCCCCGTCCCTTGCAGTACTCCCGTCCGTTCCACTCCCCTCATCCCCTCCACTCCCCCCATCCCCTCCACTCCCCCCATCCCCTCCACTCCCCCCCTCTCCTCCACTCCCCCCATCCTCGCCTTCCATCCACCATGCTCGTTTCCCTCTCTTCTCCCAGGAAGGAGCCACCCACGCGTCTACCCTGCTGCTGCGACTACTGCTCGTCCTTTCCGCCCCAACCCCTCCTCCCCCCTCAGCTCCCCTTGTTCTCAAATTCCCATTCCCTCTCTTTTCCCAAGAGGGAGGCACCCACGCGTCTACCCTGCTGCTGTGACTGCTGCTGCTCGCCCGTTGAGTCCCTCTCCCTCCTCCCCCAACTCTCCCCTCTGGCCCCATTGCTCTCGACTCCCCATTCCCTCTCTTCTCCCAAGATGGCCCCACCCACCCGTCTGCCCTGCTCCGCTGCCTCACTCTCTCGTCTCTGCTGTCGCTGCTCATTCCTTGCGCCCCTCCCCCTCCTCTCCCCTCTTCTCCCCTTGCCCATGCAGCTACCCTGCTTTCACTCGTTCCCGTCTGCCCCTCTTCATCTCCTCTTCTCTCTGCTCCCTCCTTTTCCCCTCCCGCCTCTCTCCCCCCTCCCGCCCCCCTACCCCCTGCCGCCTCTCTTCCCCCCGCCGCCTCCCGCGTCTCCACTGCGCCTCTGCGCCAAACTGCGCCTCTCACTGCATTCGCTCCACCCCTTCTTTCCCCCTCCCGCGCGGTCCATTTCCGCCCCTCCCCTGGCGCATTCCGCCCCTCCCCCGGTGAACCCCACCCCTCCCATAGAGCATTCCGTCCCTCCCCCACCGCATTCCGCCCCTCCGCACCGGTTCCCTCCCCCGTTTCCCACACAACGGACGGCCTCCTCCGCTGCCCTCCGCCGCTCCGACCGCCATTAGTCGTCCAATCGCGCTCATCTATCGCGCACAAGGTTAACCTTCTCTGATTGGCTAAAATAGCAGGGAATTCTACTCTAACCCATGGGTATTCTGATCTGATCGCGCTCGTTAGAGTGTCAGGCCGAATGAGTGTTCTACACGGGTGGTTTCCGGCCGGTATTTGCGCTCGAGCCGCCGAAATTCGCGTTCGGCCCGTGGGAGTTCGCGCTAGGAGTGTGGTTGCGGGAAGTGCCATGCGGCTTCGAAACGGGTGTTGATGTTGTCGTAAAGTGGAAGCCGCGAACGGAGATGCCGAGTGCGATCGCGCGGAACACGCGCCTTGAACAGACATGGCGACGAAACGGCGTCGACGGGACCACGACGATGCTGCACAACGACATACGCGATGGCTGCGATGCGAATTTGAGCTGTTCACGCCAGGCCAAAATCATTGAGGGCGATGGTGGTGTGTTACGAACAAACCGCGCGGGAAACGGCTGATGGACGCGAATGATTCGGTACTCGTTAGTGACATTCGTGATTTCGCGAAAAAGAAAGCCCAAACAAAGCGATGAAGAGTAAATAAATGCAGTTACAGTCCAAGGCAAACAAAATATATGGTAAAAAACTTTGTGAAATGTGCCCACTGAAAGCTCGTGACAACAAAGAAGCACAACACAGCATTTCCTCTGCAATGGCAAGAAAATTATACATGATTTTTACTCCCCCGAAGGTCCACACTGCTTCATTCTCTCCCCACCATTGCCCTGGTCCTGTCACATCTCCCCATATTCTGGTTGAATCTCCCCCCCATACCCCCCGCACCCCAGGTAGGTAGTCCTTGTGTGTCCCAGAAATCTCCTGCGCGCACGCCAGGGGCCGTCCCCTCAACCCCCAATCCCTGCCAGAGCTGTGCCAAAAACTTGCAGAAAGCGAGGAAATAGTGCCACATTCTGCTCACATCTCCCCTCCATACCCTCCCGACCCCAAGTAGTCCTTGTGATTCCCAGAGATGGCCTGAGTCTTCTGGTGCTCGAGCTTGGGGCACTCGCTGATGCGATGGCCAAGGCCGCCACAGAAGGCACACCCGCGCACACCAGAGGCGGCGGCGAGAGCCTCTGCGTCCTCCATGGGGTCGTCCAGGGAGGCCAGCACGGGGGGGATGCGCTGCTTCGCCTCCCGCAGCAGATGCTTCAGATCCAGCAGAATCGTCTCGCTCTGTTGCAGGAAGGGGTGGGGGGAAGTGGGAGCAGGGGAAGCAGGGAAAGCGGGAGAACCAGGAGGGGAAAACAGGGGTTAAAACCCACTTGACCCCTCAGCACCGGACCGCACCACCAGGACCCCTCAGCACTGCACTGCACCAACCTGGACCCCTCAGCACTGCACTGCACCCACCTGGAACCCTCAGCACCGCAAAGCACCGACTTGGACCCCTCAGCACCGCACTGCACCCACCTGGACCCCTCAGCACCGAACTGCACCCACCTGGACCCCTCAGCACCGCACTGCACCCACCTGGACCCCTCACCAGTGCACTGCACCCACCTGGAACCCACAGCACCGCACTGCACCAACCTGGACCCCTCACCACCGCACTGCACCCACCAGGACCCCTCAGCACCGCACTGCACCCACCTGGACCCCTCAGCACCGCACTGCAACCACCTGGACCCCTCAGCACCGCACTGCACCAACCTGGACCCCTCGGCACTGCACTGCACCCACCTGGAACCCTCAGCACCGCAAAGCACCCACTTGGACCCCTCAGCGCCGCACTGCACCCACCTGGACCCCTCAGCACCGAACTGCACCAACCTGGACCCCTCAGCACCGCACTGCACCCACCTGGACCCCTCAGCACCGCACTGCGCCCACCCGGACCCCTCAGCACCGCACTGCACCCACCTGGACCCCTCAGCACTGCACTGCACCTGTGAGGACCTCACCTGGTTCTTGTTGATGAACGTGGTGGCAATCCCCGTCTTCCCGCAGCGCCCCGTGCGGCCGATGCGGTGAACATAGTTCTCAATCTCAGCGGGCATGTCATAGTTCACCACGTGCTGAATGTCCGGGAAGTCCAGCCCCTTGGACGCCACATCAGTCGCCACCAGCACATCCTTCCTCCCGGCCTTGAACGCCGCGATTGCCGCCTCGCGCTCCTCCTGGTCCTTCCCTCCGTGCACTGCCACCGCCTCCACTCCCTTGAGCAGCAGGTACTCGTGAATGTCGTCCACGTCGGCTTTGTTCTCGCAGAAAATCAGAACCGGAGGCGGCGTTTTTTGGAGGCATTCGAGGAGGTACACGATCTTGGCCTCCTGCTTCACGTACTCCACCTCCTGAATCACGTCCAGATTCGCTGCACCTGCACGCCCCACATTAACCATAACCGGCTTCACCAGGGCACTTTTCGCAAACGCCTGGATTTTCTTGGGCATGGTGGCGGAAAACAGCAGCGTCTGGCGCTGGGCTTTAAAGTGGTCGAAAACCTCTCTGATATCATCCTCGAAACCCAAGTCAATGAGCCTGTCGGCTTCATCCAAGCACAAGTACTTGCATATGTCCAGGTTCATGCGCTTTTTGTTAAGTAAGTCTTTTAGCCGACCAGGCGTGGCGACCACCATGTGCACTCCGCGTTTGACCACCTCCAGCTGCTGCCGCATGTCAATGCCCCCTATGCACAGCATGCTGCGCAGCTCTGGGTATCTGAGAATGGAAATAGGGGGGGCAGGGAAGGCAAGTGAAGCAAGGAGTGTGATGAGACGCAAGGGATTGATGAGAGAGTGGGAAAAGCTTGACCACCTGCCTCTGCTCTGGGTACCTGCAAGATAGAAAGCAAGGGAAGAGATTTGAGGCGCCTCAAAACCCATCTCATTACATGCGGAGCTCAGGGCACTGGGAATTGAAATAGGGGAGAAAAGAGAGGTGAGGGGAGGAAGGGGAGGAAACGGGTGATGAGAGACGCAAGGCTGTGACGGGAGCCGAACCGTCCGGATGCTCGATCACCTTCAGCTGCCCCCTTCAGCTGCCCCCTTCAGCTGCCACCTTCAGCTGCCCCCTTCGGCTTCCCGGCCCCTTCGGCTGCCCCCTTCGGCTGCCCCCTTCGGCTGCCCCCTTCGGCTGCCCCCTTCGGCTGCCCCCTTCGGCTGCCCCTTCGGCTGCCCCCTTCGGCTGCCCCCTTCGGCTGCCCCCTTCGGCTGCCCCCTTCGGCTTGTGCCCCTTCGGCTGCCCCCTTCGGCTGCCCCCTTCGGCTGCCCCCTTCGGCTGCCCCCCTTCGGCTGCCCCCTTCGGCTGCCCCCCTTCGGCTGCCCCCTTCGGCTGCCGCCTTCGGGCTGCCCCCTTCGGCTGCCCCCTTCGGCTGCCCCCTTCGGGCTGCCGCCCTTCGGCTGCCCCCTTCGGCTGCCCCCTTCCGGCTGCCCCCTTCGGCTGCCCCCTTCGGCTGCCCCCTTCGGCTGCCCCCTTCGGCTGCCCCCTTCGGCTGCCCCCTTCGGCTGCCCCCTTCGGCTGCCCCCTTCGGCTGCCCCCTTCGGCTGCCCCCTTCGGCTGCCCCCTTCGGCTGCCCCCTTCGGCTGCCCCCTTCGGCTGCCCCTTCGGCTGCCCCCTTCGGCTGCCCCCCTTCGGCTGCCCCCTTCGGCTGCCCCCTTCGGCTGCCCCCTTCGGCATGCCCCCTTCGGCTGCCCCCTTCGGCTGCCCCCTTCGGCTGCCCCCTTCGGCTGCCCCCTTCGGCTGCCCCCTTCGGCTGCCCCCTTCGGCTGCCCCCTTCGGCTGCCCCTTCGGCTGCCCCCTTCGGCTGCCCCCCTTCGGCTGCCCCTTCGGCTGCCCCCTTCGGCTGCCCCCCTTCGGCTGCCCCCTTCGGCTGCCCCCTTCGGCTGCCCCCTTCAGGCTGCCCCCTTCGGCTGCCCCCTTCGGCTGCCCCCTTCGGCTGCCCCCTTCGGCTGCCCCCTTCGGCTGCCCCCTTCGGCTGCCCCCATTCGGCTCCCCTTCGGCTGCCCCCTTCGGCTGCCCCCTTCGGCCTGCCTCCCTTCGGCTTGCCCCCTTCGGCTGCCCCCTTCGGCTACGCCCACCTTCGGCTGCCCACCTTCGGCTGCCCCCTTCGGCTGCCCCCTTCGGCTGCCCCCTTCGGCTGCCCCCTTCGGCTGCCCCCTTCGGCTGCCCCCTTCGGCTGCCCCCTTCGGCTGCCCCCTTCGGTCTGCCCCCTTAGGCTGCCCCCCCTGCCCCTTCGGCTGCCCCCTTCGGCTGCCCCCTTCGGCTGCACCCTTCGGCTGCCCCCTTAGTCCTGCCCCCATTCGGCTTGCCCCCTTCGGCTGCCCCCTTCGGCTGCCCCCTTCGCTGCCCCCTTCGGCTGCCCCCTTCGGCTGCCCCCTTCGGCTGCCCCCCTTCGGCTGCCCCCTTCGCTGCCCCTTCGGCTGCCCCCTTCGGCCTGCCCCCTTCGGCTGCCCCCTTCGGCTGCCCCCTTCGGCTGCCCCCTTCGGCTGCCCCCTTCGGTGCCCCTTCGGCTGCCCCCTTCGGCTGCCCCTTGCCCCCTTCGGCTGCCCCCTTCGGCTGCCCCCTTCGGCTGCCCCCTTCGGCTGCCCCCTTCGGCTGCCCCCTTCGGCTGCCCCCTTCGGCTGCCCCCTTCGGCTGCCCCCTTCGGCTGCCCCCTTCGGCTGCCCCCTTCGGCTGCCCCCTTCGGCTGCCCCCTTCGGCTGCCCCCTTCGGCTGCCCCCTTCGGCTGCCCCCTTCGGCTGCCCCCTTCGGCTGCCCCCTTCGGCTGCCCCCTTCGGCTGCCCCCTTCGGCTGCCCCCTTCGGCTGCCCCCTTCGGCTGCCCCCTTCGGCTGCCCCCTTCGGCTGCCCCCTTCGGCTGCCCCCTTCGGCTGCCCCTTCGGCTGCCCCCTTCGGCTGCCCCCTTCGGCTGCCCCCTTCGGCTGCCCCCTTCGGCTGCCCCCTTCGGCTGCCCCCTTCGGCTGCCCCCTTCGGCTGCCCCCTTCGGCTGCCCCCTTCGGCTGCCCCCTTCGGCTGCCCCCTTCGGCTGCCCCCTTCGGCTGCCCCCCTTCGGCTGCCCCCTTCGGCTGCCCCCTTCGGCTGCCCCCTTCGGCTGCCCCCTTCGGCTGCCCCCTTCGGCTGCCCCCTTCGGCTGCCACCTTCGGCTGCCACCTTCGGCTGCCACCTTCGGCTGCCACCTTCGGCTGCCACCTTCGGCTGCCACCTTCGGCTGCCACCTTCGGCTGCCACCTTCGGCTGCCACCTTCGGCTGCCACCTTCGGCTGCCACCTTCGGCTGCCACCTTCAGCTGCCACCTTCAGCTGCCACCTTCAGCTGCCACCTTCAGCTGCCACCTTCAGCTGCCACCTTCAGCTGCCACCTTCAGCTGCCACCTTCAGCTGCCACCTTCAGCTGCCACCTTCAGCTGCCACCTTCAGCTGCCACCTTCAGCTGCCACCTTCAGCTGCCACCTTCAGCTGCCACCTTCAGCTGCCACCTTCAGCTGCCACCTTCAGCTGCCACCTTCAGCTGCCACCCTTCAGCTGCCACCTTCAGCTGCCACCTTCAGCTGCCCCCTTCAGCTGCCACCTTCAGCTGCCACCTTCAGCTGCCACCTTCAGCTGCCACCTTCAGCTGCCACCTTCAGCTGCCACCTTCAGCTGCCACCTTCAGCTGCCACCTTCAGCTGCCACCTTCAGCTGCCACCTTCAGCTGCCACCTTCAGCTGCCACCTTCAGCTGCCACCTTCAGCTGCCACCTTCAGCTGCCACCTTCAGCTGCCCCCTTCAGCTACCCCCTTCAGCTGCCCCCTTCAGCTGCCACCTTCAGCTGCCACCTTCAGCTGCCACCTTCAGCTGCCACCTTCAGCTGCCCCCTTCAGCTGCCCCCTTCAGCTGCCCCCTTCAGCTGCCACCTTCAGCTGCCACCTTCAGCTGCCCCCTTCAGCTGCCCCCTTCAGCTGCCACCTTCAGCTGCCCCCTTCAGCTGCCCCCCTTGAGCTGCCCCCTTGAGCTGCCCCTTCAGCTGCCCCCTTCAGCTGCCCCCTTCAGCTGCCCCCTTCAGCTGCCCCTTCAGCTGCCCCCTTCAGCTGCCCCCTTCAGCTGCCCCCTTCAGCTGCCCCCTTCAGCTGCCCCCTTCAGCTGCCACCTTCAGCTGCCACCTTCAGCTGCCCCCTTCAGCTGCCCCCTTCAGCTGCCACCTTCAGCTGCCACCTTCAGCTGCCACCTTCAGCTGCCCCCTTCAGCTGCCACCTTCAGCTGCCACCTTCAGCTGCCACCTTCAGCTGCCACCTTCAGCTGCCACCTTCAGCTGCCACCTTCAGCTGCCACCTTCAGCTGCCACCTTCAGCTGCCACCTTCAGCTGCCACCTTCAGCTGCCACCTTCAGCTGCCACCTTCAGCTGCCACCCCAGCTCTCCCTTTTCAATCAACTCTATGGCCGCCCCCTTGCCCATCTCACCCCCTTTTTACCCATCTCACCCCCCCCCCTCCTCCCCGCCTTTCCCCCACTGAACTCACCGCTCTCTCTAATCGTTTCTCAGAGCATTAGCAAACTCGTTCACCACATCGTATGTCTGCCTGCCTGGCCAGCACCAGGCAGTGCCCACCAATCAGCTCTAGCGTCCCTACCTGCCCGTCCCGTTCCCCTACTCACTCTACTCACTCTACTCACCCTACTCAGCTTTTCAAGCATCTCAGCAGTCACCCTACCGCACTCACCGCTCTCTGCGGTCGTTCCTGAGAGCATCAGCAAACTCGTTCACCACATCGTACGTCTGCCGGGCGAGCTCTCTGGAGGGGCACACGATGAGCCCTGTGGGGCCCTCCCCTGCCACCAGCGGCATTCGCACCTCCTCCTGCAGTGCCTGTGGGGAGGAGGGTAAAGGGGAGGAGGTGCAAGAACAGTGTGTCCCCGTGCAAGGACAGAGTAATTAATGAAGTCTCTGGAGGGGCATACGATGAGCCCTGTGGGCCCACCCCCCCGCACCACCAGCGGCATGCGCACCTCCTCCTGCAAAGCCTGGCGTGTGGGGGGATAGAAGGGAGTGGGAAGGAATTGGCAGGGGTAGTGGAACAGCAATCGTGCGAGCTCTCTGGAGGGGCACACATTGACTCCCGTGGGGCCCTCCCCCGCCACCAGGGGCATTCGCACCTCCTCCTCCTGTAGGGCCTGGCATGCAGAACACACCCAGCAGGGGGGGAGGATGGGATGAGATGAGGGGGGTACAAATGCTGGTTGATTGAAAAGCACCCTGTAAGGGCAGAAAATGAGCACCCTGGTTGTGTGGGTGGGTCCCTCACCCGCCTGCTACTGCAATGAGCACAAAGCCTCGCAACGGGCACTATGGGCAGCGGAAATGCTGCCACTGAGTGGCACCGGCAGCAAAACGCCCTCATATTCAGCACCATGGGCAGTAAAATTGCTCACACTGAGTACCGGGGCAGCTAGAAAAAAGCACTCTCATTAGGCAGCAACAGCAGAAGACCACTCACATTGAGCACCATGGGCAGCGCAAAGACGAGTGTTTTCCCTGATCCAGTGAAAGCAATGCCGATGATGTCCCTCCCCTCCAGCACCGCTGGCATGCCCTGCACCTGCACATGGGGTGGGGTTCAGAGCGGTACAGCGGGGTGACTAGCAATACAGCAATGGTGGCATTCTCTGCACCTGCACAGGGAGATATGAAGCGGTAGAGAGGGGTGCACATCAACACAGAGCGGTTAAGGGCCCCTCCCCTCCAACACAGGGAGTGGTAAAGAGTGGCACGAAGAGATATTAAACGGTACAGATGGGTGCAGATAGCAAAGATCAGTTGGGGATCCCCATTCTCCACCTGAACTGAATGGGCGTGGTGAGGGGAATGAGCAGCAGCACCCACCTGAATGGGAATCAAGGGAACACGCACCTGGATGGGCGTGGGGCGCAGGATGCCTTTCTTCTTGAGCACGCGCAGGCAGGGCTCGGGCAGGCGCATGTCTTTGAAGCTCTTGATGGGCGGCGGCACGCCCTCGCCGTCCACCAGGATGTGCCACGCCTTGCGGATCTCCGCCCGCTCCTCCTCGCTCATGCCTAGGATGTGGCTCGGCGGCTTCCAACCCGTCCACAGAGGCTCGGTGTACTGCGGGTGAGAGGCGGCGTGGCAGAGAGGAAAGTTGGGGAGATTTTTAGATTTTTTAAAACTCATCTCATAGTATCAGATGTGGCTGGCTGGCTTTTAGAATTCTCAAAAGCAGCTCAGGGGCTGCTCTCGGCGCACATGATGGCCTAGAATGTGGGTTCTCGCCCCACCTTAAAAGCCCTTGGCGACGTTGGGTTGGAAAGAAACAATTTCTTCTCCTCGCCCTCTACGGAACCCTGCAAACCTGAGTGGGTTCTCTTCTCTCTGCACCTGAACGCTCCTTGTCAAGCCCTTAACCGCACCTGAACACCCTTATCAAGCCCCTCATCGCACCTAAACGCCCTTATTCAGCCCTCACCGCACCTGGATACCCTTGACGC